TTAAACAGGCAGGGAATATATGCATAAAAGGAATACTCAAGGTCTTGAGATTCTTTCTAATATTTACAGAGTTGAATTCTTAGAACATTCCAGAGAGTGTATTTTGTTTTGTTTCAAGGCTTTCTATTTCTTTCTTTGAGAGGGACTTTGTTTAGTATAATTTAGCTCTAACACAGTTCTTATTGATGTTTCTAGATTTCTTCCTTCAGATAATACAGCTTTTCACTAACTCCTGAGGTGTCTAAGCTTCTCCCCTTCATAATAGACCAGGGTTCTCTTCCCAAGCCCTTTCATTGGCAGGGAGGTATTCTCCTTGTCCCTAAGAAGCAATAACTCCTTTTACTATTTGGCTTGTATGGGAATTCTCTCTAACTACCCAGACCTTCTGCCAAATCCTTCTCCGGTATCCTTTGTCTGTATAAGGGTCTTCTGTAGCTTTTCTAACTGAGAATTTAAGTTCTTCCTCAGAGCTGTTTTAATATATTTAGGTAGTGGGGTTTCTCTTCTTTCTGTAGAAGTACTTTTCTCACTATTGCCTGTCAGAAAACACTGACTCCCAAATGTCTCTTCCCTCAGAAGCCAAATCCTCTAGCTACTGATTCAGAAGTTAGATTTCAAAAGACCAAACTGCAAAAGACCTCTTTTCCCTCAAGATCAGCTGTTCTATTTTCTCTCTCAGCTGATGCTGGCCGATCAGAGTGAGCAGAGCAGCCAATCACCTAAGCTCTTCTCTCCAGGGAAGATTAATTCTTGAACTCCCTGACTCTCCGATACAAGCAGCATTTTTTAAAAAACAAAAAAACAAAACCCTGCTTTTCTGTGTAGTCCGTCACACATGCTATAAATAAAGCCATCTGCAGGGAAAGTACCTTAAGACCAAGCTTAAATGTGTCATGATAGGGCAAGGGCTTGCATGTGTCTAAGAGGGCACTGTCCTGCTTCTGACCCTCTTACCTTCTGGTCTTCAGGTTGCTGCCACTCAAACTGGAATTCAGCCTTGCCACATTTAACTGTGGTTTGGGGTACCAGTAAAAGGCTCTCTGTGGATGTATAGAGTGCAGAGGCCCTCTGCATGTTCATGAACAAACAGCTAGGCATGTAGGTGAGGCACTACGAACATAGCCTACATACTTAAAACAGAAAGAGCTTTATTCACTATAGCACTACAGCTTACCAAGCTGGAGCACAATACATAGTGAAAAGGTTTTCATAACACAAAGGACTCTTGCAGTATCTCAGGAAAGTAAAACACTTTAATCTAACTTTAGAGTCGCAGATGTTGCCTCAGCATCTCCCCAAGAGGGATGGGTACAAACTGCTGAAATTTAGGCAGGGGGGAAAGGCTGACATCCCTTTATTCCCTCCCTTGCTCCTGGTCCAGCTTGAGCTACACAACTTGAACTCCATTAATAAGGTTCAGGTGGGTCGTCATGCTGGTCTGAAGGAGCAGAACAAAGTTTAAGTTCAGTGGCCAAGTAATTTTTATTCTGGGTATAAGCTTTTGTGTGCCTGCACAGTGTGCATGCACATGAAAATTTATGCCCAGAATAAAACTTTGTCCTTACCTAATCCTGAGTTTGGGAGCTGTTGTCCTTGTGGGACCCTGCCATTCCCTTCCCTTCCCCCAGTCAATGTGGAGTACATGCCTTCCTGGCTTTATTGCTAGGGTTGCCAGTCTCCAAGTAGATCCTGGAGATTATCTCCTTGCAGGAAACTCAGTTCTGCTGTCAATTTGAGCATTTTGTGGCCCTCCTTCCTGGGAAAGAGGTTTGTCCCCAGAGCTTTGGGGCCTGGGGACTTCTGGATGAACTTCAAAACTTGTTACATCTCCCTGGACATGACAAAGAGTGGGCTGATTGGGTAACTGGAGAAGTATGCAATAGAACCCATGATTGGTAATGAGCAGCAGTAAAGCTGTCTTTAGCCTTAACCATAGCAGCCATTAATGGGCCTCTGCTAGCCACTGAATATAGAAGAGGAAGGCCCATCTTACTCCTGCTACATGTTCCCTACCTACACCTGGCAAGAGCTGCAGCAGCTTTAGAGTCTTGATGTAGCTTGAACACAGAAGTTTCAGGCTGCATCCAAAGTGTATGGACGATAATCTGTTCTAACAACTGAAGCGCTCGTCTCTGTGCTTCTCTTAGTGATGGGAACAGGAACACAGGCATAACTTGCCTCTAGCATTTTCTTGTGCCCGTTTGTCTTTCTGTCACTTAGAACAAACATCCGTGCTATGTTGCTTCAGTTGTCCTTTTTCATAATGAATAATAAGGTTGTCATTGACTGTTCATGATATGTAGGGGTGAAAAAGTATATAGAAAGATACAGTGCACCGTTTAACATACACACATAAGTGTGTAGCCCATATGCTCACACGCATGTAACTGGATGAGGGGGTTGATGAGTTTGGACTGAAGAATGTGGGGAAAGTGGAAAAACGCCATGCACTCCAGGAACATAAGAAGAACTCTGCTGGATCAGACCAGTGGCTCATCTCATCCAGCATCTTGTCTTATACCATGGCCAAACAACAAATGTAAAGAAAACAGTTGTGAGAGTCTGGCCCACAAATCAGGCAGTCAACAAGACTTGTTGACTACCTGATTTGTGGGTCAGACTCTCACGACTGTTTTCTTTACATTTGTTCTTTGATCAGGTCGTAATTGTCCACATTTGTCTTATACCATGGTCAGCTAGTTACCTTAGAGGGCCAACAAACAGGACATAGGGGCCAAGGCATTCTCCTCATATTGCTTCCTGGCACTGATATTCAAAGTTTTATAGCCTTTGAATGGGAAGGTTTTCTTTAGATTTGCGGGCACTGAGCAATCTGTCCTCCATGAATCCCCCTTTTGAAGAGAAGAGAAGCTGTCCTTGTCATTTAAGTACTGTCACTGTGTTCACTGCCAATGAATACCAGTTTAGTTGCTTGTCAAGTAAATAATTACTTCCTTTCATCCTCCTCTTCATTGGATGCCCCTGAGTTCTAGTACTATGGGAAATGGAGAAAAGTTCTATCCTGTACTTTCAGGGTAATGGCTCATGAGCCTTCTGAATGCTTGCAAACACACAGAGAGACAGGAGGTACAGTACAAGAAGAGAACATTTAGTAGTAAGGCAACTTCAACTAGTTTCAGACTTGCATGTCAATTCAGGTCATGACACAGAAAGAATTTCTCAGTTTTTTAAAAAAAGATTGTGCCTTGTTGCAGGTAGTTATAGAACCACTGAAAAGAGCAGACTTGATTTTGAATCAGTGTGGTGCTCAAGAGGTGACACGTGAAGTCTGTGTTGAACCATGAGGCAAGCATGAACACTCAGTACTACACAGCGTGAGTGGGAAGCTACATTAATAAGCAACACACATTCAACTTCAGAAGAGGAAATTTCTCAAATGAGAGGGTTATGTACAGTTAGTGTCAAGTTCTTTAAGCAGCACGGAAGTAGCATAATAAAGCCTCAGTGCTCTGGGCAGTCAAATAAGAATCTGCCATAAGGCAGGCCACGAAGGAATATGAATACTAAATGAGTAGAAACATGAAGGAAGAGAAGCAATAAAATTAAACGTCAGAAGTGGGAACCTGGCCAAAGCTATCACAGGACTATCGAGCACAAGGATATGAATGTGGTGCTTGAAACAAACATCAGGGGAATTGGAATGCCAGTCCTCCCATCTATTTGTTTAAGGCTCTTGGTCAGCACATATCCCAACTGCATGTTCTCCTTTTGCTGAGACTCCCCCCAGCTCCTATTTCAAAGACAGTGATATAAAAACCAGTCTAAACATATTAGATATTGGAGCAGGGTGGTGGTAAATGCTGTCAAGTCACAGCTGCCTTATGATGACCCCTTAGGTTTTCAAGGCAAGAGACACTCAGAGGTGACTCTGCCCTTGCCTGCCTCTGTGTAGCAACCCTGTACTTCCTTGGTGGTCTCCCGTCCAAATACTAATCAGGGCGAACCCTGCTTCTGAGATCAGGCTACAGCAGAGTAGTCATGCCACCTGGGTAGGAACAAAGTATGCACAGTTGGGTGGAGGGGAGGAAAACAAATATAACTGCAAAGCACCACAGATGCACAATCCAAAGCGTTCACAAAATCATAGGGCATGGCTTAAAGACAATTGTATAAAGGGCATAATGAATGAACGCACCCACCCCTACCTTGGTGCTGGTTTCAGAGCTTTTAAAGCATCCTTGCAATTGGCCATAGGAGCACGACTGCAGTGCTGGTAGCCCTCAGAGCTTGGCAGTGTTGTTCATATGGAGCCTGGCCGTAGGTGGTGCATATAACTAGCTCTGTGTTCCTTTGTTCTCGGTAATGTAGCATTACAAAACTGCTAGACTTTTGACACAGCAGCAGTTATAATCACAAATGTAGCCCCGTGGCTCAGTTTGGTGCTAAACACAGAGCAGAATTAGAGTGTCCTGGTAGAAGATGTGGCTGGGACTGGCAGGGAGGGGGGATTCTCAGCTGAATAGGACAATGGACGGACAACTGTTTTGGACTAATCTTCACAGAAGCAACATAAAGCTAACTTATATAGTGGAACAGATACAGGATGCCTGTGCATGTATTTTGTTCGATACTTGTCATTTTAAGTAGTCTCCAGTTGCATTCCCTATGAATTTACAACCTGGAAAAAAGATTCTGATTTCCTTCCAACAGCACAATACTGCACTCTGAACGTATGGAGGCACCTTTTTGCCACAGAAGTGCTAACCCAAGGAAATATGTTTAGATGCTGTGTGTGTGAGAAAAGGTTGTGTGGAAAGGCTAGGAGAAGCAAACAGAAATGAAGAATGTATAGGAATGTGGAGTTGGTGATAACTGTAGTGGGATCATATGGTCAAATCCCTTACCTGAAATAAGCTCCAAGAATGGAGATGCTACCATCCCAGACCATTTATTGTTAGGAATTTCTTCCTGATCAGGTTTAACTTGTATTGGCCTGCCCTTCATTTGTAGAATTGCTTTCTTTCTAATAGGAATCAATTTCAGTAACTGAAAATCTGACAGTCTCTCTCTTCTCCAGAGCATCCCCCCCCCGCCATTCTTTTTCTGTATTTTTGTTTGTCCTCCTATGATCTGTATTTGGAAACCCTTTGTCTTCCCTGATCCATTTTTGCCTTCGTGCCATCCTCCTCAAAAAGTGGTGTCTGGAACCAAGTTTCCAAATGAGATGCTACTGTTTTTCAGTACAAGATCCTTTTGAGGTTCAAAAAATATATTTTTAGTACATCTTAATGGCCTTTTAAGGGCCAGTTGATATATAAAAATCCATAATTCATTGAATGCAGCATTACACAATGATGTGCATGCGTGAATTAGGCACCACAGACAAATCAGTACATATGCAATGTCTACGTAACTCATGTTAGAAGTACCAGATGTTGTCTCTTAGCCTCAGCCTCCAGATGGGGGTTACAAGAGAGTCAGACAGATACACAGGCAGACTGTGGGTTTCCTTCCTGTTTACTCTTCTCCCTCTGTCCCTTTGATGTGTGGACTGATAGCTCTCAGGGAAATTGCCTTCCTCCATTCCATTCACACTTTTCTCACGCACACAAAGAAGGAACACTTTGCTCTACTTCTTTGGAACAATGGATGCAGGGCATGCTTCCTGGCATTCACACCCATCCTAGTTAGATTAGAATCTGTCCTCATATCTCATCTATACTGTCTAGAATGGAGTTCCATATAATAAAGAACTCTCATTAGTTCTAAAGCGGACTACTGGCTCTGTGTAACTTTGTAAGCCTGCTAGCACACTCAGTAAGAAAGCTTGGCTGCGTGGAATGCCTTGTGCACTCTGCTACATTGTTAGAGAATCCTGGCGGTACAATAACCAGAGAATCCAACAACTCCTCATATGAGTAATTTTGCAGTACTTATGGAGGCTTGGTGATGCCCTCCTCACACATCTCAGCATATCAGAGGTTTACTAATGGAAGCTGCCATATACTGTCAGGCCATTGGTCTGTCAAGGTCAGCACTGTCTACTCTGACATTCACTGGCAGCTGCTCTCTGGGGTCTCAAGCAGAGGTCTTTAACTACTACCTGGACCTTCCACATACAAACCAAATATTCTATCATTGAGACACTGCCTGACCCCACAATAACATTTGGTTATTCAAACACAAGGCCTCTTGAACCTTAGCACCGTTCAGGGCATTGGGACTGCTTGCTTTGCCCTCTGCTGCAGCCATCCGTACAAGCTTTTTTGATACAGTCGCCTTACCTACAGCTGTACACTGTCTTCAGTCCAGGCCTCTTCTTTTCTTCTGCTTCATCCAGTTCCCTGAGTTCTCCCTCCCATGCTTCTGTACACTGCAGAATTACAGTTCCTCTCTTAGGACAGAAACCTAGTACCAGCCAAAGCCTGGCATTAGTGTGCTTATTCTCAGGTACAAATGTGGTATATGCTATATATAGGAAAAGGAAAATATAGGCCCTTGACTTAGTAAATAGAGTGAGAATAGTGACAACATGGTCCAGTTTTTAAGGCCCTCAGTTGTAGAGAAAAATTAACACATGGAAACAAGGTAAGGCATCCTTCCCCCCTCTCCCCAAAAAAACCCTTGTCAAATTCCCCCCCAAATGAACAAGTGTTTGATGAGGCTCCCTTTGAACTTGAGGCCCACTCCCCCCAATCACTGGCCCTGCCTTAATGGCCCACAAACATTTGTGGTGATGTCATCTGTCACTTCCTAGCTCAGCCCCAGGTTTTGAAGATTTGAGGGCAGGTGATAAAGGATTGCTGTGTAACTGTGTGACCCTTGTGATAGCATTCTGGCAAACTGCACCCACCTCTACCCAAGCTCCTGGTAGTAGCATGCCATCTAAACATGCTCATGTACACTAGCGCTTAGGAAAAGGAGATGCTCTGCTTCAGGTCCTCCTGATAATGCCATTGTCTGATCTAGCAGTCGCTTCTCCTGGTGAGTGGCGAGGTAACTGTAGGATTGCTTACTAGTGAGGAAAATGCAGTCTTGACAGACTTTCTCAGGACCTTTTCGATAATTCTTACCCCTTCCGTTCAGCAGCCGTGTTTGACTCGTACCCTATCGATGAGAAAAGGCATATAAAGTTTTTGGAACGTCTGAAATGGACTATATAAAGGGGATGAAGAGCGCACTTCTCCAAGCGGGCCGGTCCAGCGCACGTGTGTACCTGCGACAGCGACAGCCAGTAGCGACTTCTGGTTAGGTGGGCTGCAACTGCCACTCTTTTCCCCTAGGGGGCGGGCCAAACGGGGCGGAGCGGCGGCGGCGCTGCTGGGCCGGTGGCTGGCAGGCGGCATGGGGCTGTGAGCCGGCCGGCCAGCTCCCAGGCCCGTGCCCGCCATGCCAGGCAAAGCCCAGCACTTCCAAGGTCCCCAGGTCAGCTGCTGCGCCAAGTACCTGCTCTTCGCCTCCAATGTGCTGTTCTGGGTGGGTGAGCAAGTGAGGGCGACGCGGCCCGCCTGGGTGCCTGCCGGGGAGGGGGGAGGGAGTCTGTGCGTGCCGGCTTGCACCGCATCGCTCTTCTCT